TGTATGCATCATCGTTTCCAGAGTAAGACCGTGGACGTGGTACATTCCCAGACGTTTCGCCGGCATCGTATTCAGCATCGTCAGTGAGTATCGCCATTCTTAGCACCACACAACAACTCGTCAAAGAAACAAGTTGTTGTGTGTAGGTGCGTTTCTTTAAGTCTTCCTACCAATATGACCGAGTTGCGAAAACAAGGTCAAACAACTTCTATATTTATTACTATAAATTCTGTAGGTTAGTCAATACGAAGAAACATCCGAGTTGGTTTTTCCAATCCCTTGTTTCATACCTCATTGATATTCAGTCTGCAGTTGTGATGAGACTTTAAATTAAAGATTGTTCAAGCTTGTAATTTATTTTTTATATCATCTTGAACTTGAAATCTCCGATTTTATTAGTCTTTTAGATGCTATTGAAAAATAATGATATTCTGTAAAAAAATTTAAATCTGATAATAAAAAATTATGAACTTAAGCATTAGACGTTTGATCTTTTTTTCGCAACTTGGTCATTGGTAGGAAGACTTAGAAGAACGCACCTAGTCCAGAGTCCATTGTATGCATCATCATTTCCACAGTAGGACCGTGGACGTGGTACATTTCCAAACGTTTCGCCTGCTTCATATTCGGCATCGTCAATAAGTCTCGTCATTCGTGTCACTATATTACAACTCGTCAAAGAGACAAGTGAAGCCCATCCTTTGACCAAACATGTGCTAAACAGTTATGATATCTTCCCTTCTGCCCTGGCCTATTCACATTTTCTATATCCTCCTATCATGCCTTCCCTGTCACAATTTTCACCGTGCTTATTTTTAATGTAGTGTCGTGTGCTCTTTCGAGCGGAATTCATGAAAACCCTTAACACTCCACATTGTCGTTACACCCCCTTCATCCTTGTGCTGGGAATGTTGACCAGAATCTATCATATTGTTACGTAGTCCTTCCCTGTGTCCTATCAAAGTCTCCCTTTAGCCCCGTCGAATCCATCTGCTATCTCCCTGGTACATGTATTTCATTCGACCCCTG